GAGCAGATAAAATGTCAGGTCCTAGCATTCTGGCTTCAATGGCATTTCAATACAGCTCTGGTGCTATAAAACTACGTGTGTGATATTGAAGCTGAGATATGATTTTTGCCTTTCTATATCCATGTATTTTAGGGAACACTTATAGACCAAAATCCCATACAAACAAGGTATTCCCCCTTTAAATATATGTTTTATTGTTCATAAGGGCTTTCTGTGAACACAGCAATAATGTCTGACACCTATAGTTTCTTTGATATCTCCATATACGCTGCAAACTGACAAACCGCTATGTGACACATTAATAATCTCCAATTATATCGCCGTTCACTGCTTAACCATTGTCACATTCTAGCTACAGTCCTTAAATAAGATTTGGCATTTCATCAAGATGTGTAAGCCCTCCAAATCAGATTTGCCAGTTTTTATTACAACAATCCATCTATTACATTTTTATAGTCCTTTCACACACTGGCTCTTAATTTCATTGCTCGACCTTTATTGAGTCTCTTGCCATGTCTTGAGGAAACCATAGCAGGAGGAAACCAAAGCAGGGACTGCCAAAATGGTTGACGCTGGTTATAAAATGTCATATAAGTCCAGCAAAAGGCACATCGAATTAGATCTGGGATAGAAGAAGAGTATGAGACTAAAGAGCAGGGAACCGCACAGTCTTTGATCCTCCTCTATGTCCTCAGTATTGTCCAGGACCCTAGCAGAGAGATTCTGTCTTCTTCATGGGTCGTGCTGAAAAGGTAATAAACTTGATTACTGGTCTGTAATTCCTCCGCATAATCATATGCGGAGGGCACGTTATCCAGGCTTTCAGTTCACTCAGCCCTTAATTGGATTTCCCATAGGATTATATGGAGATCTTATTTACCCCTGTGGCAACAGTAGCTAAGGTTTCAGCAATGCAATGAAATGATGGAGACATAATACAAGGTGCAGGGGTGTCCCTAGACTTATCTCTGCCTGAAGCGGGGTAGGTTCGGGTTCTGGTGGTGCACGGTCCGGGGGGGTGTTGGTGCTGGGTGGCTCTGTGGGGGTTTGGTTTGGTGGGGGGAAGGTGCTGGTGGTTACCACTCTCTGGCGTCCCATCCAGCTCACTGATGTCACTGGTTGCCAGGAGCTCAACAGGGCGCAACCTGTGATGTCAACTCTTGGCAACCAGTGACGTCAGCGAGCTCGGCAGGACGCGGCCAGAGCGTCCAAGGTTGCTAAGAGCTCTTAGCAACCTGGGATGTTCTGGCTATAAATGGGGCAGTGTTACCTCTCTTCAACATCCCACCCAGCTCACTGACATCACAGGTTGCCAGGAGCTCGGCAGAATGCCGGCCAGAGCGACCCGCTCAGCTCCTGGCAACCAGTGACATCAGTGAGCTAGGCGGGTTGCCGGCCAGAGAGTCACAGGTTGCTAAGAGCTCTTAGCAACCTGGGATGCACTTGCAAAACCCAAAGAGATGCCACCTGAGGCAACCGCCTCAGGCTGCCTCATTGTATGGATGCCCCTGACCAGGAGTGTGCTTCGTAAACAAAAATTAGAAAAGAAGGAACCTTTCATATTCCCCTGTCCCATCGCCCCTTCACTGAGCATTACTCTGAAGATTTTTGGTGGTTAAAGAATTTTCTGCATGCGACACACTTCCAGGTGTGTCACTTCCCTGCTGTGTACTGGCAGATCTTCAACTGCTGTGTACTGTGGTTCCCCCCAACAGCAGTTGGAAGTGCATGGAACCATAGCATGCAGTGGGGGACGCAGGGATTTTACACATCTGTAAGTGTCAGATGCTGAGGATTGTGCTGGAGGCTGTCGCTCTGTAAGAAAATAAAGAGAGGATTCAGAGAAGTATTAACAGTCTTATTTTTCATTGTTTATTTTTTAGAACTATATTTTAAGGCAACAGCTAAATATTTTTTAGATATAAATGTGGAAGAGCTTAATGTAAATAATTTCATCCCAGTGTGATCATTTTAAATGAATGTGAGAATGTAAAAATATATTTCTTTATCAAACATTAAAGGTCACAGAAACAGTAGAAAAATCATACTGGCAAAACCGAAAATGTTAAGCCAGCCCATTGTATAGCCCCGCCTCTATCCATCATGCCCAAGTTTTTTGCTAGTGTCCTAGGAAGTTGGAAATTTTCTTTCTGATGAGGATAAAACATCTAGCTATATTTTTACCATACTTTCCCTTCTATCAACAGTTTTAGTACTGCATAGATGGTGCGTCTCTATAGTCAAGCTTTTATTAAGCTGTTGGAGCTAATCCTTGGCACTGTCTTGGAGGCTGTACCCGAACCCTGCTGGACTGTAAATTATGGGGCCTGTCCGTAATGTGACCCTTGGGCACTAAGCTTTGCTTGTGCCATTCCTCAGATGCCTATATTGTTTGTGTACTAGTTTGTTAGCCACAGAACGCTTTACAGGTCCAGAGCTATGTCACAGCCACTGGTGTGAACCAGTCTCTGAAGACTTACTCTGTAAGTAATCCCATGGGCAGGCAAGTATACTGGAATTTGACCTTGTGGTACTGGGCTGTGCATTGTAGCACTTTCCAGTCCTGTGGTTGCTGGGCCCGTTAGCCAGAGAACGCTCCCCAATTTCAGAGCAGTGATACAACCTTGGGTGTAACCAGTCTCTAGAGTGCCCCTATGATGCAGATATCTTGGTAAGTGAGGTCTGCACTATAAGCTCCACATTGGAGGCTATTCAGAACTGCCTACTGGTCAGTTAGTTGCAGAACAATCTCCAGTTTTAGAGTAGTGGTACATCACCTAAGGCAGGGCTGGGCAAACTCCAGCCCTCCAGCTATGGGGAAACTACAAATCGCATGATGCATCTGTCTCTGGGAGTAATGCCTGTGGATGTGCATGTGCAATGCCTCATAGGATTTGTTATTCCACAACAGTTGGGGGGGCCAGAGATTGCTCACCCCTGACCTAAGGTGTACCCAGTTTCTGTTGCTCAATCTGACACAGATGTCTTGAGTGGTATCTGAGTTATAAGCCCTTCATTGGGCATCTTCCAGACGTGTGTGTACTGTCCAGTTAGTCAAAGAGCTCGACTCAGAATTTAGAGCAGTGGTACAACCTGTTGGAAATGCAACAGCATATTCTAATGTACTGATTGTATTACTGACTGTTACTGACTGCAATATGTCTTTTGAGCTGTAGATGGCACTGTAGTGGAATGTTAGTGGATCTCTACCTTAAATAAGTCGTTTCAGGGAGGTGCCCTTCTCATTTCAGAGAGGTGCTCTGTCAACCCCCTCCACAGAGATGAGGGGGGTGCAACAACAAGGAAGGAAATGATGACAGATAGCAAATAAGCTATTGCTTCCTTTGCTATCTGCTGTTTGTTTTTTTTGTGTTCTGACAGCTGCCTCCGTCAGGAAAAAGAAAAAACAAAAGATGGCATTGGAAATAAATAATAGCTAAATTGCTATTGGCTATTTCAATTTGCAGTCGCCAATAGCAAGCTGGCTATTGCACCCGCCCACTGCTGCGGTCATTCAGCAGAGGTGGACCTGATGAAGAACTTCAGGTCCACCTCTGCCGATGACAGCAGCAGTGGATGGGTGCAATAGCTAGTCTGCTATTGGTTATTGCAAATTGAAATAGCCAATAGCAATCTAGCTATTAGTTCCTATGCCGTTTTTTGTTTTGTTTTTTCTGACGGCCGGCAGCCCTGATCTCAGAGAAAAAAAAAAGACAGCACGGAAAGGTTTACTCTGCTAGATCGAGCAGAGTCAACCTTTCTCTCCCAGGTGTCCGGGAGCCACTATCTGATAGCGGGAGACCCCCAGAACATCTGGGAGAGTTGAGATGTCTGTAATGTTCTTATAAGCAAGTACAATTTAATTCAGCATTCCTCAAGATCTCAGTGCTTCGTCTAAACACATAACCTTTGGTGTAGCCCAGCCTTCTTGTGGAAATATTCCTTAGGAACCAATAAAAGCATCCTAGTATGTTGCCTTCAGAAGCTGTGATCCACATTGCATTGTTCTGGCTCTCGGGCCTGAGTTTTCTGAGTCATTAACCAAGAACTCTTTCATTATTTGGAGCAGAGCTACAACCCCTGGTGTTAACACCTTGCATGGTCTAATGAAAATCTGAATATGTCATCTTTGAACATTCAGCTCTGCCATGGCATTCTTCCATCTTTGGCCTGCATCTGTTAGTAGCACCATCTCCAATCCCAGAGTCATGACTTAGTTCCTGTGTGTACCAATTACTGAACACTGACTCTATCACTTGATGTGAGTTGATGGATAAAATGTTTTCACCTGTAACCTTTATTCACTGGATACTGCTTAAGTATTGACACAAAAACAATTACCACCTTTTCTAGACATAAGGTGGTGATAGAAGTTATTTAAATCAACCAATCATATTTCATTCAAGCTACAATAGCTTACTTTATTGAAGACAGTATCAAGAATAAGTATCGAAAGGTGAGCACGACATCACAAAACAAAGACCCTCCTTGTCAATCACCACACACTGTAAAAACCTTAGAGCAGTCCTCATCCACTTCACTCATTCACACATATATTAGCTGATGGCCATCGTGAATTGTACCAAAAATAAAATTGTGATTTTAGACTGATGTAATATTGCTCAGAACATCTGTGTATTATGGAAATTAACCAATTAAGTATTAAATAGTACAATACAGCCTCATATCAGGCCTAGAAGAGTGACCATGTTGCTTTCACTCATTAATAAGCTGATTTGTGATGAAGTAGCAGGGGGAATAGCCTCACTGGCTCTCAGCCAGCAAGCTTACAAGCAAAGTCCAGCTTTTACAATGATAATAATAGCAATAATAAATGCACACACATTCATAAAAGAAGAACATGTGCATGTATTTTTAGTTTTTGCATTAGAGCCAATAAAGCATTGCAACCATGATCAGTGGATGATGTGCGCAATGTTCTCCTACAGATACTTTAAAAGCTAGATCTCTACATCTAACATTTCTTGTTCTTTCTTTAGGTATTGGAAAAACAAACATTTATCACCTAAGAGATTGAGCACTGGTATTTTGATGTATACACTGGCCTCATCTATCTGTGACGAAATACACCTCTATGGATTTTGGCCCTTCGGGTGGGACCCAAACACCGGGAAGGATCTACCGTACCATTACTATGACAAAAAAGGAACAAAATTCACCACAAAATGGCAGGAGTCCCACCAACTTCCTGCCGAGTTCAAACTGCTCTACAAGATGCACCGTGAAGGACTAACAAGGTTAACGCTGTCACACTGTGCCTAAAAACGAAGCAGGAAACATGAAGTGCCATTGTTCTAAAAGTGCCCAAAAGTAATTGAATAGTCATCAAACACAAACAAAAATCTAAATCAAAACAATCAAAAATGTACTTCATGACATAGAATGTAGAATCTTTTACCCATCCCTCGTAATGTATTTGTTAGAGCTTAGTAACCGAGAAATGATCCATTTTTAGAAAATGACAATGGTTGAAAGTATTTCATAGAAGACAAAAAAAAAATCATGAATCCATATGCTGCTAAGTAGCAATTTCTGTTACATTCTGATATTCCGCTGTGAACATCTTTAAAGGTACAAGCCTGCCAGAACTGATATTTAAAGTTTATATACTGCTAAAACTATTTTAGTTCTGCATAGCATGTGGAGGAGTTAGGTCCTAATGTACATTGAAGCTGGTACAGGAAGTGAAGGGAAATCCAAATGTTTTGAGTTGTCACAGGAGGTGAAGGAAAGTCTTCCAGTGGGAACATCTGTTGTGGCAACAGCAGTCTAAAGCTCACCACACACATTTACAATCTTACTGTACAATTCCCTTTAGATCTACTAACAACTATGTAGTGCAAGGGTCTGTCTGATTGGTTAGTTTATACAGTATAAGTCCTCATATTAGTTTTGCTATTGGTTTTGGTAAATCTAAAGCTGATTGTACAACAGGCCTGGACAAATGTTCTCAATATTTAGGAGCCAGCTCCAGAAAGTGAGCAGCCAGCAGCACCGGGACCACTCATTTATGTGGGGTGGACAGCCCTAAACTTAAGGGGTTGTGTAAATTGTTTTATTGCTTTTCTGTACAGTGTAAGAGGGTGGTCAGGCTCAGAAAAGTTGCTAAGAGTCTCAAAGACTGGCGAACCTCAAGAGGAAATATATTGCTCACACACACAGGCACAGACATGGCTGTAGGGGAAAGAAGGTAAAGTGGCTTCAGGGGCAAAGACACCAGCCTGGTCTTTTCCCCTGAAGCCACTTTACCTTCTTTCCCCTACAGCAATGTCTCTTCCCCCATGCAGTCACATTTCTCTCCCAAAGGGCAACCCCCAAAGATATCGCCACTTCCTTAGAGCCACATTACTTATTAACCCTTCCAGGTGGATCTCATAATTCTGCTCATACTCCTGTCCTTTTATTTGTTTCACAGTGCAATAACCAAGCTGTGGAATTCCCAGATGAGGCACTTATGATCACAGGTGCCATTTTAGCACCAACTATACTTCTGGTAGACAGGCTGACAGTATGCATATTAGCAGCTTCTGAATTATAACCCCCCAACGTCTCCGATCCCTGGGCTCCTCATAGCATCCAAATCGGTATTAGCTCTATCTTCCTACATTCACAGATCTGACACTGGTCATCATTAGGTGGCTCTCCCCAACACTCTTCCCAGTATGAGCTTTAACACACACAATATCCTAGGGGGTCTAGTTCCAATCACTATGGTGACTGAGATGTGTCCATTCCAGGCCTGATGATGGGGACCCTGCATGGCCCCGAAACATTGCATCCACTTTATGACAACATGCGTCAATAAAGAGACGTTTGCTTCTACTACGGTGTGCTGGTGGCATCTCTAATATCGGATGGGTCCAATTCTGAGCTAATGTGACTGTATTGACAGCCAGAATTGTGAGAGGCAGACAGAGCTAAGTCCTGCCGACACGTGAGAAAGGCAACCTTAGCGCAGTCTGTTTTGTGCAACGCTGACTGTCAATACAGTCACATTAGCTGATACGTTTCTCATTCAGTGCTGGCATTACTGAATATTAGCCCCAACATTTCAGCGCTTGCCTCCCTACTGGCAATAGCTCTCAAATACCTGAGTTTTCTCAGTCACTGCGGCGACCTGGCGACTGGATATTGTCCTCCCCTGTTGTACTGTTGTATTGAAATGTGCATGGTCAGCATAAGAGGGGATATCCCCCAGCTTTTAAGACGTCTCCTCATACTTCCTGCTGTGGATCTGGGTCAGCAGGTGAAGGGACCCAGACAGCAGAAAAAAGAAAAACCTGATAGTAGGCATAACCCTTCACTACTGAATCCAATACAAAAATCTAAAAAAACGCTTTACATACACTATTAGGTTTTTTATATAAAACGTCCAACCAGCATATAGCAGGGTGGATGCCGTTCACACAGTTCTAATGCCCCCTGAATAGCCATGAGGAGTATAGGAATTTCTTATACTCCTTCATGCCATCTAGGGGTGCTACTGCCATGTGAACAGTATCCACCAAGCTATATGCTGGGTGGAAGTTTTATAAATAAACACATAAAAGTTTTTAAAAAATGCTCTTTGATTTTTTAATCTAAGAGCTTGTTAAATTTCCTGGGGACAGTAGTGAGGTATTTGTATCTGAGTTCCCAGCTCCACCTACCACTAGCATTAGAGGTTCTCAGTCCTGGTGGATTTTTCATACCAAGATGGAAACTCAAGGAAGGAGAGCTCCCTGCTGGTGTTCCCTAGAGATATGAAAAGCCTTCAACATCCCATGGTAGCTGAAATATCAGATTTTGGCAGACTTACCCTTTATTTCAGACAAGCAGCAGATCATATGCGCTTTTTTTTGTGGCATTTAGGTTTGCAGATTGTGAAAATCATTTTTTTTTAGATCACCATTATATGCAAGCTTTAACGTGAAAGCGCCAACAATTTCTGATTTGCACAATTCAGTAATCTGTATGTATTCGGCGTTCTAAGAAAGCTGTTTTCTTGCTGTCATGTGACTGTTTGGGGTGCATTCATCAATATTTCTTAGAAACAACAGCTAACAATTTGTAATTGTCATTAGAGGGCCAGTAAGGACCGGCAAACCTGAAATATAAGCTACCTTATACAAACAAGTTCAACAAATGTCTGCAGCCAAATGTAAAAACCTCCATTTAGGGCATATAGTTATTCTATGAAACACTTTTTTTTAAGCTGCACTGTGTGCCATTGCATGCAATTATTTATATTTAATAAATGCGTGTCCTGAGAACAAGCAGAAAGTCCATGGTCCCATCGCACTCCTGACCGCAAAAATCCCTTGAAGAAGTGGGTGCTGCGGTAGTCAACGGGTGGCAGCCGTAACAATCATAAGCAAGAACATGGCTCATCAGGTATGCTTTGCCTGATGAAGGGGATCCTCTGTGACCCCGAAACGTTCGTTGCTATTTTCTGCTATGCTGCACGTCAATAAATAGACGTTTGCTTGCCCAATTTGGAGTGCCGGTGTCTCTGTTCTTGCTGAGAACAAGCAGCACATCATCACTTTCAGTACTTCCTCCCATTGGCCTACAGTTCTGTCAATCACAGGTGGTACTGCTGCCATGAATATTGTCGATTCATCTAAATCCTCGCAGCTGAGCTATGCATCATATTGTAAGCCTGCAAGAAACTCAGCAGTCAAGCAGACACGAGGGTGACAACACCCCAGCTGCATTATAAGGTTGCGGGTGACCATTGTCCCCTAACAGGAAATTAGATTAAAAGTTGACAAGGTACAAATCATAGATGAGCTCGGCAAAGAATGAAGTACTGCTATAAGAGTGTAAGAGAGCCTGAGCTGCAACATTGTTTAAGGTTCACTCTACTTTTGTACAATTATCCTGGAAGTATATCTCTGGGGCATGAGTAGAAGTGACACAATTGAGTGAATTTTGCCTGGAAGAAACCATAGCTGACCTGGGTGAGGCTAAGCCTCTCATGTTTGCAGCTACAACCAAAATACCTTGGAACCCAGTGGGGGCGATCATGTCACCCCTCTGTCATGTGAAAATGCTCAGGACTAAAGATTGGCCACTAGACTAAAACACTTTATAGTGGGAGCAGGCCATGCTCCCCCATACCTGAAAGCAATGGGTATTTCCCACTGGTGACCACATAAGAAGGAGAGGCAGGGAAGCGCTAGAGAGGTGAGAATCAAGTGATGGTGGGAGGGGGGACAACTGTGTTCAGATACTGTTGATTTACTAAAGGCAATGGAATTTTCACATAGCTTAGTGAATGTGGAGAAGCTTCACTTTGCAAAGAATGTCCAATCAGATGTAAAATTTAAAATATATATTATTTCTCTTGCACATGATTGAATGATGGAGGTCAGCAGAGCTTCACCTCATTCACTAAGCTAAGTGAAAATTCCCTTGCAAATCGAACAGCCTATGTGCCTTTATTAAGTCAAACCCAAAGTTTCTTTGCCCCGAATACGCAAGTGGCAGTGTCTTTTTAAAGAGGAACTTCAACAGCAAGTAAAATCAGTTAATTTACATTCACTTAAGGGCTGATGTATAAAGGCTGCTTTCAGTGGGTGAATGCAGTTCACACAACATTACAGTCGCTATATGGCACCGAGGAGAATAGGGAATTGCTTTGCTCTTCTAGCTCCATCTAGCGGCAGTAATGCCAAATGAGCAACATCCCCCTACTAAAGAAGCCTTTATACATCAGCTTCTTTGTGTACCTTCAAACGAATCATTATATCATCCGCTGCCAGTACTTTCATTGGGTTTCTAGGTTGGACTGCATCCTTTGGTCACATGATTCTGTACTCTGCAAACTCCCTCTCATTGCTATGGAAGAGCACTTCAATGGAGAGAAGGGGTTGGTGCATGGATTAGTTCCAATGTTTTCACATGCTCAGATTCCAGGCCATCGATCAGATAATAAGGCATTTGCCTACAATGGTAGTCATGTAGGTAAGCTTGAACCACAAACGTGGCTCATTTAAAAGTCTTCAATGAGAGTATAGATTATACCTGTAGCATAATAAATGCAAAGTCCAGCTGATTGCTATGGGATACTGATGGTTTGTGCACCTACAAGTCGTCACGGAAACAGCTTTTGTTTGTTCCGCTGATGTAAAGTCGTCACGGAAACAGCTTTTGTTTGTTCCGCTGATGTAAAGTCGTCACGGAAACAGCTTTTGTTTGTTCCGCTGATGTAAAGTCGTCACGGAAACAGCTTTTGTTTGTTCCGCTGATGTAAATGTGATCATGTTTTGTTCTTAGAATGTAGGAGTAGACTGGCATTATTTTTTCAATGTCTATACAGGCATTAGATTTGGTTTTCATAATACATATATTA